GGAAGCTCCTCATGGCCGTGACACCTTGGGTGGGCGACGTGCTGCTGCCTTGCACCTTGCGAACTGGGAAGATGGCTTTTGATCAAACAAAAGGTAGTGCTAACCCATCAGAGATGGTGCTCCTTTATGTGCCTGTTTTCTGGCACCTTACAAGTGAATATTCAGCTGATTTTTGATGGTAGGCCTTTTTTTCTAGCTTATTCTATTCAACAGAAGCTCAAGTCGGTCAGTCTCTCCAGCACTCCTCTGTTCACACTTTTCATTCAGGTAGGTTTTTCTGTCTTAATAGCATGATCTGCTTTGCAGGAGTGGTAATCTTCATACTTGATGCTTAAAAACAATTATAAATCTTTCACTTGAATTAATCTAATTACTAGATTAATCTGTTCTCTTGGCTTGCATGTTATATTTAGTAAACCCTGCATCCATCCTAATGCTGTCACAGTTTTCTGCAAGTGTGAATGTGTACCCAGAATCTTTCATGTGAAGCCTCTCCCATCCGCCTTGTCGTGTTGCTGGCTCTACCAACATTCCTTTTCTGAACCAAATTGTAACAAAATGCTTATCTTGCAGCTCTTTCGGATTGATACCAATGGCTGCATGAAGATCATTCGGGAGAGAAGGGCTGATGCAGTCAGGCCTCAGCAGGTACTGTGCACCAACTATTTCTAAGCTTTTCCCTGGAGTCTTGTGTAAAACAGAGGCTTTTCAGTGAGTGTGGTGAGTTGGTATTGTCTGTGTGTTACCAGTTAATTTGAAGCAGAGTAAAGTGCTGCCTGTGTGGCCATTTACATAGGAGGCTGACAGATGATGCTTTGATTGACATCTGTGCTGTTTTAATGATCTTTATATGTCTCAAGTATAATTTAATTTATTTACTTTTTATTTTTTTTTGCAGGCTTCCCAAAACTCGGAGTCTTCTTCAGGTACCTATCAGAGCATTTGGTGTTATGATGCACAGGAACTTGCACTTAGTTCATCACCACTGTGTTAATAACCAGTGGAACTGAAGGAGAACTTTGAAACGAAACGCACTGCCTTGCTCCTTTCTCGTAGCTCTTGGCTCTTTCAGTTGTTGGCTTAATGCATTCATTTTGGTAAGGACTGGTGAAAATACTGAAGGGCTGTGGGCATGGTGTCATCGTGCCTGCCTGATGGTCTGTAGGCTGTCACTGTAGACTTCTCTCAAGCATGTACTCACAACAATACAGTGTTGTAAGAATTGCCAGTCAGGAATTTTCCTACTTCCTATGCAAGGTAATTGACATCTAATAGCTACAAAACAGCATCTAAAGTCTTTCTTCCTTTCTGAAGACTTGTTTTTCTTCCCCCTTATTCACCTTATAGGCGATGCATCGCAGCCTGCTCCCAAGAGGCAGACAGCTCCTCCAGTTCTCCCATCTCTTCCAGCTCCTCTAGCCCAAGCTCAAAGGCAGAAACCTAAAACTGTCTCAGAATTGCTGAGAGAGAAGCGGCAGATGGAGAAGCAGTTAAAAGAGAAAGCTGTGCAGACGAAAGTATTTGTTGCCCCACAGGTGATGCTTTCAGGGCCTTTGATAATCCAGCACCCACCACAGCAAATGATTCCTTCTGCACAAGTGGGGAGCAAACCTGGAGCAGTTGGCTCTACAGCCAGCCACGTACAACGTGTGCCAGCTGCCCCGTCAGCGTTTACTTCTGTTGCTGGTTCTGCTTCTACCCCTGTCATGCTTGAAAACCATTCTCCATCAGTGTCAAAAGCTGGGGAGAGCCCTTGTTCCTCACAAGAGACAAAAGTACAATCTAGTAAGGAACTAAACGAGCAAGCTCCACAAAATACCCCTGAAAGAGCAGTTTTTCCAAGCCTGAATCCGGGTGCAGCAGGAAAGGCCCCAGATCAAGGAGGGTGCAGCGGTCAGCTCCTAGCTGGTAGCTCAGCTCCAGTAGTGTTGCAAAATCAAGCTTTTGTGCCACATCGAGTTACGGTGGTGCCTTTTGGCATAGAGTCTGGCAACAGCAAACTGTCTCTTCCCACACCAGTTACCTATGAACTGAATCGTCCTGGGCCAGTCAATCTATTGCCTGCTCTTCTAGCTCCACAGCCCGGCTCCCGTTTGACTCCTGACAGCGTGCTGCCTCTCACATGGATTGTAACGCAGCAGGCTTTGCTCTCCAGTGCTGTGCAGGCCGTTGTGGGTGTTCCCCAGGGTCTGCAAGCTGCTATTGTGAGGAGTCAAAGTCAGGCAAGTGTGACATCCAGTGGCAATGTCTGTGGTTTAGGAGTGCCTCCTGCATCCTCTGGAGTAAATATGCCTCAGCCAAGCCATGCAGAGACAAAAACAAATCCCCAGTTAGCTTCAGGGAGCCCAGCAGGAAAGACAGCTGGTGTAAGCCATTCTGCAAGTGTCTTCCCCGTGAGCTCGGCCAGTCCTGCGTGCAGCATATCTGGTGTTTCTTCTGCTACATCTGCAAGTTCAGACAGTTCCTCTAAGGCTGTTGATCCTTCTGCAGCTCAGAATGCTCTTCCAGGTGGTGCACCAACCCCACATGCTCAGCTGCTGCCCCAGATGCAGCCACCTGCAAGCACTCAGGGGTCTGATTCCCACTGTGTGACGGGTGCTGTTAGCTTGGGAGAAAACCAGGACTCGTCTATAAATGGATCATCTTCCAACTCGAATGTCCTTAATAAAGGGGTTGTGCTCCAGCCAGGAGCTTCAATTCCTCATGACAGTGTTGCAGGAATTTCTGAAGGCTCAGCTGAGCAGGCACTGAAGTACAGACCTATTGCCTCCAAACCGCCCCCTGCACAGGCTGCGAGTGCTCCACCCCAGCCAACCACTTCTAGTGCCGAAAAGACTCTTCTTGACTATAGCCTGATTTCCTTTGAAGATGAGGAGCTGGTGAAGGAATGGCTGAGTGGCAAGCAAGGTGTCCAGGTACCACCACTGCAAACCAGGTTGCCTTATTTCCCACCTTTTTTGTGCAACTTAAAAACTCTTTCAAAGCTACTTCTGCAAAAGGCAGCTCTGGAAAAACAAGCAGCACGTCTTCTGTCCCCTGATGGCAGTCAGACTGAGGGTGAGGTTGACTTGAATGCTATCATGGAACTGGTGCATGAGAAACTGGGTGATGACCCTGCTTTTCTCCTGCTGAAAGCCCGCTTTCTAGCAGCCTTTACTCTCCCTGCTGTACTAGCAACTCTGCCTCCTCCAAGAGTGGCAACAACTCTGTCAGCCAGCAGGAGGGAATATGGAGAGAGTGATGAAGAGGAGTGGCAGAGTGAGGAAGAGGCGTCTGAGGATGAGAGCGGTGGGGATGAATTGGATGCACGGTCGGATGGAGCAGGTGGTGATGAGCCTGGAGACCGAGATGCTGATTTTCCAGATAAGGTAAAGGAAAGCTGCAGTCTCACTTGTGGGAGACACAGCCTCTCTAGCAAAGAGTTGTGTCCAGGCAAAGAGAAACCACATCAGGTGTGTTGTGGCTGGAGAGCAGGGACAGAATCATACTCTGTAGGAAGAAGTGCTGGTGTTGGCTGAAAACTGTGTTTGGGATGTTTTGTTTGCTAGGATTGTGGTAATACAGTGTTGTGTCCCGTGCTTAATTTTGAGTGTAAATGGAGTATTGTTTTAAATCTTGCCATGCTAACTAAAATAAAAAGATGGCTCACAGGGTTTTCTTGCAAATCCTCCTAGGTTTCGTGCTGCTGTGCAAATAGTCTGCTCCCCTTGTGTTGCAGGGCATGGAAACCGAAGAGATTGCTGCACAATCCATCGTGGGCACCTGCACTGATGGGACTGCCAGCGTTCCTCAAATCAGGAGAAGTTTGCGCATCAGGAAAAGGTTCAGGAAGAGGAGGAGGCTGTGAGGAGGTAACGTCAGCAGCTGTTCTGTGAACCTTGCGTTTTTAGAGAGAGAACCTGAGATGCTTTTGCCTGTGGTGCAGCCCAAAGAATGAATCACGACCATAGGAGAAGCTTGAAATGGTTTTGACTTCTGTTCCCTTAGGGCACAGTCTGCACTCGCCCTGTTAGTCATACATTAAGAGTAACGCAGGTTGAGGAGGAGGGGAAGTTGGTGTTTACATTATAAAATTACCTATAAAGCTATGAGGTTTAAATATTTGGCAGCCTTTCAGACCCTGCTGCTGCCTATTAGCATTATAGCTAGCTGGTTTAGTGAAGCCCTGGATGGTTTCCTTTCTGTGTGTAACTGGGCAGCTTCTCAGGTGTACAAGTGCAGGGTCTGAATGTGTTGAGGCCTGTAGAGAAATGGACCAAGTGAGTGTGACTGCCATTTGATTTGCTTGCTTGCTGAATTAGATTCTGTTTTTATTTTGTTTTCTCCTTTAAAACTGATCTTAGAAACTCAAAAATGTTTGCTTCCCTATTTAAAAGTCCTGCAACTAAGAGCTGTTTGTGCTGTGTTACAGGAGCCACTTGAAGGAGGTCTGTCCTGCAGCAGGAGATGCTCATTGCACTGCTCACTTCTCACACTTGCAACAAGCTGACCAGGCAGAGCTGGGGGGCAGAGGGAAACATCCAGGCTGGTTTCCCCACCACCAAAAAAAAAGTCTGCTCATTTAGACAAGCTGCAAGTAATGAAACAAAACTGCTGGAGGGGTGTTTTTTAGCACAGAGCAATTCTGTTCTCTTTCAGCCTAGCATTTGCCACAAGTGCTGCGGGGTAACAATTGTTGGGGACCTGGGGGAGCCAGCAATGATGGTTATTTCCTTGCTGTGCTCCCCTCTGTTTATGTGAATGTTTATCTGTGTTCAGAATATGTGGTTCATTGAATGTTTTTTTTTTTAATGCTGTAATGATGTTTTGTTTGACAGCTGACTGAATGCTGCTCAGTAAGAAGCAGGTTAATATTTTATCAAATGAGTCTCGAGTACTGGTTGAAATACAGATGTTTATTTTTCTCATTTATTTGTGCCTTCTGTGTTTTTGTGGTAAATGCTGCTTATAGCAATATGTGGATGAGTGTGATTGCTAATGAGAGAAACGAAGCTTGCAGGCTACATGAAAGCAAGCCAGAGAGAATGTGGAGAATGAATATGCAGGCAGCTACAAAGGCAGAACTGAACAGGTTTGATTCTTCCCTAATTCTTCCACAGCCTTCCCATACAGCCATCAGCAAATCACAATAAAAGCTCGTTTCCTCATTCACAAAACAGCAGTTTGTCTTACAGAGAGGTGTAGGGCTAGCTGAGTCAAAGCAGGTAAAAATCAGTGGGAAGGTGCTGTAGGAAGCTTCACCCCCACTGCATTGCCCAGCCTCCCCAAGTCACAGCAGTACATTCAATGTGCAATTCTGTGAGGCTCCTTTAGGCAGAGCTGCAAAAGAGGGGCAGTGGGACATTAAAATCACTCTAATTGGGTACTAAGCGATTAGTGGGGCAGGAAGAAGTACCTTGACATGGCTTTCCTCTTGCAGTGTGCTCTGTCTTCCACAAACTGCTACAGCTAATGCTCGTTTCCAAGAAGCACACACAGCAGAAGCTCTGCCCACTGTTCTGCGTGCCATTCACTGCAGGGCTGGTGCTGCCAGGTGCTGGTGGTACGTGTGATCTGTGCTGGCTTTGTGCTCTGAAGTAAGCTGGATGGATCTGTACCTGTTTTTATTTTTCACTCTTGGTCTACACAAAGAAGCTTTCCTGACTGTAGCTTGTACTTCAGTGGTAAAGATTGGGCATCCAAGGCACAGTGAGTGTAAGAGAAGCAATGCTGGTGATTTGCAGCGTCATCAGCTTTCATCCTCCTCCCCCATCATCCCTTCTGACTTCCTTTTTTCTTCTTTCTCTTATTTCAGAGGGTAGCTGAGTAGTTTCCTCTTTTTTCACAGATTGGTTCCTGGAATGACCTGTATAAAGGAAAGCTGCAGCCCAGGCAGGTTTCTGCAGAGACAGAGCAGACAGACCAGGAGAAGAGCAGTGAAGGCTGTTGTCTGCACAGGCCCAGGTTGGTCCATATAATGCAGAATGATTTATCTTGATCAGATTTTTGTTGTTACAGTTCTGAGGGGAGGGTGTGCTTCTCATCAACAGGGGAATGCTTTTCTGCTCATGATCTGTTGGGGCTGCTTTGATGTCAGGCAGAGTGAGGTGGGCTTTTTGGTTTTTTTTTTCTCCATAATAATTACTGACCTGTTAGTCTTGTGTCAGTCCTGTTCCATGAAGGAGCAGAGAAATGAGTGCTTGGAGAGATGCAGTAAGATCTGTGTGCAATCTCAGCCCCTGCGTAGTCAGAACTCTTCCCCTTCTGCTCCCAGTCCTACAAAACAGCTGAAAACATGAATGCTGAGGTTGCTGGCAGATACTGGAAATGACACAGCTACTGCAGCCACTTCATACCTGTGATGTGAGCATAGTAAATAATGAGCAGGATTTCAGGAGGTGCTCAGTGTGGAATTGTCTTACCACACAGGGGCAAAGAGGTAAAAATAATGCCAGTTTCTTATTTGAATTGATAAAACTGATTTTAGATAGAAGTCTAGACACAGAAAAGTTGGGTTTTGTTTACCTGCCTGTTTCCTACCTGTGGAGGAGCAGTAGCTGAAGCTGTGCTGAGGCTGTACAGATGAGATCTGTGAGGTGGCCGTGAGAGGCAGCAGAACTCGTGGAATTAAATTCAAGACTGTGTACTTGATTTCAACACCACCACCCACATTTTCCCCTGAGACTTAGAGTCTGCTTTTTTTGCTTGTTTCCTGTCTTCATTTTTTAAGGAAGGGCGAAGCAGCTCACTGTCACTTGTCGCTCACCGCCATGCTGGATGAAGATAACGACGAGACATGTTGGAATAGCCTGGAAAACTTTCGGGTGAAGCTGATCTCTGTGATAGATCCTTCCCGTATAACACCTTATCTTCGCCAGTGCCAGGTGATAAACCATGATGATGAGGAACAGGTTCTCAATGACCCCAGCCTGGTCATGCGCAAACGCAAAGCAGGTGGGTGAAACGCAGCCTTGGCTCTTCCAGCTCAGACCACAGAAACACCATTTGGGGAGGTTGGGGCAATTCTTTGCTCTGTTAGGAATGGGTAAAGAGAGGATTAAATTAATGGAACCGTTGCTGTTGTTTCAGGTGTTCTTTTGGACATTCTTCAGCGAACGGGGCGCAAGGGCTTTGAGGCTTTCATGGAGAGCCTCGAGCTTTATTATCCACAGCTGTATAAGAAAATAACTGGGAAGGAGCCAAGCAGGGTTTTCTCTCTGATTATAGGTAATGTTTGAGTTCTGAAATGAAACTTTTTAGTGATACGTGGGTGGAAATCTGGTGTGTGTGTGTGCGTGTGTGTGTTTGTGGGAGCAGACAGGACAGCAGTTTACTGATACTTGTCCACCCAACAGACACAGCTGGGGAATCTGGCCTGAGCCAGCTCCTGATGAATGAGATTACAAAGCTGCAGAGAACGGTGCAGGAGGAGCGGCAGAAGGCCCAGGAGCTCACCGTGTGGCTGCACACCAAAGAGAACATGATCAGAGAGATGTGGGTGAGGGACAGCCTGCTCCGCAAGCACCAAGAGCGGGTGCAGAAGATGAAGGAGGAGAGGGACAGTCTGAGCAGGGAGCTGCGGAAGTGTAAGGATGAGAACTACAGCCTGGCAATGAGCTACGCCAGACAGAGCGAAGAGAAGAGCAGCGCCCTCATGAAGAACAGGGACCTGCTGCTAGAGGTGAGTGACCCCGTTCCTAAGCTTCCTTCTTTACTTGATCCCTGAGGGGCTGAGCTGTGTGTCAGATGTATCTGGGCTGGCGTGGCCTAGTCTGTTACGAGGTTTTGTGCATATTCCTTGGCAGGTGGTATGTCGTAGTGGTCCCTGGCTCAGCCCTGTAGGCCCATGTATTACAAGCTGTGCTCTGAAGAGTTAAGCCTTCCCCTCGTTTGAGACTGGGCCCTCTCACAGGGGCAGTGCAGAACCAGCATGTTGTACCCATTTAGCACAAAGGCAAGTCTCAGCTCCCCAGAACACCAAGCTTCCTGAGGAAGATAGAATTGGGGAAAAGCTTGCACCGTGCTTGTCTGAGGAATGGGGAACTCTGCCACGAGAGAACTGCTTTTGCAACCAGACTTTTGTGTCTGTTACTGATGAGCTCTGAACCGCCTTGTAGATTGATAGCTTGAGGCATAGCCTCATGAAGGCTGAGGACGACTGCAAACTAGAGCGTAAGCACTCGATGAAACTGAAGCATGCCATAGAGCAACGTCCGAGCCATGAAGTGATGTGGGAGATCCAGCAGGAGAAGGAGTTGCTTTTGGCCAAGAATCAGGAGCTGGAGAACACTCTCCAGGTTGGTGAGGTGACTGGGTGAGGAATCTTCAGAAATGATTAATTATTTTTTTTGCAACCAGCACAGCGATGGGGCTGTGCTGAATATTTGGTGGGTCGGCTATGGGCTTGTTCTCCCAAGTCGTACAGAGAGCACGTAGGACTTTGGAGTTAGATGGCTGCTGTATCTCACGTTCTTTGTCCAGCAGGTTGCCAGGGAGCAGAACTTGGAGAAGAGTCTCTCTTGTGAGACTGTGCAGAAAGATACAGCCAGCCAGATACCGGAGCGCCGGGACCTGCTGAACACCATTTACCACCTTCGCAAGGAGCTGCGCCAAGCCGAGGTGCTTCGAGACAAAGTGTGTGGTGCAGTATGAATCCCTGCTGGGGGTCAGCGGGGTGAGATGGGCAGATAAAGGCTGCAGGGTGATGGGAGCTTTTATCATGATTGGCAGCTCAGGTACACGTAAATGTGACGTGTCAGTAGGCTTTTTAGTCATACTGCCTGGTCTTCTGGTTGGCTTTGCTCCAAAAGGGCAGTCTGAGTTTCGTGTTGCAGGGAAGTCTGGCTGTAGCAATCTGTGGTATAGAGCAGAAGTGGTGAGATTCTAGCTTAGAATCCCACAAGCCATGTCTCAACAGTGTGCAGAGGAAAAAGAGATACTTGAACTACAGTGCACATCTCTGAGGAAGGACTCCCAGATGTATAAAAGACGGATGGAAGCTGTCTTACAGCAGATGGAGGAAGTGGCCTCAGAAAGAGACCAGGTGATAAAACGTTCCTCTAGAAGCTGCTGCTAATCCCTGGCTTGCTGCTTGAAGCAGGCAGATATCATAACCCTGAATGTGGTGTTGTGTGGTGTTGCCTCTTACGCCAGGCACTGCTGACCAGGGAACAGTTCTACGCACAGTACTCCAAGAACCTGATGGAGAGGGACGCCTGTCGGAAGCAGATTCGGGAGCTGGGGGAGCGATGCGATGAGCTGCAGCTGCAGCTCTTCCAAAAGGAGAGTCAGCTACTGGCTACTGAAGCCAAGCTGAAAAGGCTGCAACTGGAGCTACCTGCACTGGTACGCCTGTGGGGGTTGTCATGTGTATGATGAGTTGAAAAGTTGAGTCTAGGACCCAACTAAAACTGTTTTGAGACCTTGAGACCTAACCAGTCCGATTTCAGCAAGCAGTGGCCACCTGCTTAGGTAACCATTTCTGTGCACGTACTGTTTAGAAAAAAGGAAGACACAGTGGTTTTTATGAGCTCACCCTGGTTTGCTGAAGCCTTACCTGTTTGGAGTGCTTCTGGAGGTCGTTGGCATTGGCAGCTACTCACAACTCCAGAGCCTGTACAAGCCGTTTGGGTGAAATAGGAGCAGGGTATGAGACTTCATGGGATTAAATTAGATGTCTGAGGACTTTTACTTAGTGTGGCATCTTATGTACTTTCTCCAAATGGTCACATGAGTGTAGGAGGAAGGAGGTCCACATTGCCATTTTCTGGATCTTCTGGTCTCCTGTATATTCCAATGCTGTCATTTACTTGCTCATGAGGAATGATGAACTTACTGGTTTTATTTCAGACTTCTGACCTGGATGACACCTCCTCCAGAGATTCCCAGGATGTGAGTAGGGTGCCTTGTTTACATTTTATTTTCTCCTGGGATGGTTTGCAATTCCTCAGTTGTCTTAATGCCCAAAGTAATAGCACTCTGCTCTCTGTGAGTCAGGCTTATGGCAGTGGCATCAAGTCCAAAGGTAGCAAAGCAGGCTAATGGCTAAGGGCAGCTTCTTGTGTCCTGAGATTTCTAAGCACCTGGGGATGCACCTGTGATAAGATTTATTGAGTCCAAGCAGACCAGAAGATTCAAATCATTTTGTGTTGCTTCTAATGTCTCCCTGAGAGAACAGGCAAAAATGAGTATTATCCTGTGTAGTAAAGGGTGGGTTTTTTTTCTAACTTAGTTCATAACTTAATTGTGGTAGAGGTTGGCACGTCATCTAGAGACAAAATGTTTGAGGCTGTAGTCACGGAGGATGAGTCTGTGTGTGGATGTGCAGCTTCAAGTTCAGAATGTTTCCTATTTTGCTTACAGCAAGATACAGTGGGGAAAGGTTGGTTATGTACCTTCCTGCATTTGTTCCTAGCTACTGTCTGAGAAAGAATAAGGAGTGCTTCTCATGATCTTGATCTGTTTGTGTCCCAATAGCTCACTCTTCATGGTCGTCTAGATGAAGATACGCACCTGCCTAAAAGTAAGGCTTTTGTTGGGGAGAACATCCAGTACAGCTCTTGATGGGGTTGCCCAGAGGGACAGGAATAGGAATGCTTTTTATGTTAGTGCAGAAGAGGTACCCTGACCGATGAGGCCTCAGTTTGTGAGTGATGCTGCTCAGTGGGTCATGCTTGGCACCTCCTTGAGATGACTCAGAATAGGTGCATGTAAATCTAGGCTTCTGGAGCCCTGAGGCATTCTGCTACCCTTCTCACCTACAAAAAAGGAGATCGTGTTCCCGGTATCTGGGAACAGTGAATGCTTGTACAGCTTTTCAGAGGGAAAAATCTCCATGTGTTATTTGCTTTGTGCTCAAAAGATGACTTTTTTCAGTCATCTGCCTTCTGAATTTGTCTGGCAAAAATCACTCAGGTACACGATGCCTTTGAGAAACAGCTCCTGTTGTGTTTGTGGCTGAGCTGAGAATGGAACAAGACTCCTTCCACTCCAGCTGAACCATGTGTCCTTCTGCAGAGACATTTATTTCCTCTCTTTTACGTTGCAGGCTATTTTCACAAAAGCAGAACCACATAATTAATACTGTCACTGGTTCTGCAGCCCCAATGGAAACAATTCAGCAGTGCAGAGAAGAATAAACAGGGTCCTTTAAAACTCAAGATTTGCTTTTGAAACGTTGCAAAAGGAAGGAAACAAGCCAAGGTCCTCTCCTGAAAGATTTAAATGATCATTCATTGAGATGGCAGATTTTTCACAGGAGCTACCACATTGAAACAGAAAGCCTTTTCTTGCTCTACTTCACTCAAATCAAAATTGCACACCACGTTGTCTGATCACTGCATTAGGAGTTTTGCTAAAATACGACCTGTTGAGTATCTTGATATGCACATCTTAGCTGCTGGGGAGCAGGGACAAATTGTGATTAATGTTTAGTGTGTTTTTTTTTTTTTTTTTATTGTTCTGTCCATTATTATTCTTTTAGTGATGTTAGACAGAGGTGCTGCTCTGCAATGGTTCATTTTGCTCCTCCACAAACAGAAATTAGACAGATGGAGTCTCTGGTGATCCTGTGGGGAATTCCATCACCCTAAGCAAGACTCAGAGGTCAAGTAAAACGAGCCGGGTCTTGTGCAGTGATCACAAGATTGAATACTGAATGTTTTGAGGCCTGGGTTCAGCTTGCTGTTGATGCTGTGTACTGTCGGGCAGCTCTTACACTGTACAGCTATTGCTGTTTGGTGAGCTGGTGGAAAGAGAAGTTACTTCAACATGGCAACTATGATTGAAACTGTGATTTGCTTTTTTATTTTCCTTTAGAAGACTGCTGTGAAGAACAAAACCAGCAATTCAGCGTTCGAGAAAGCAACCTGCCTGCAGAATCACCCTCTGTAAGAGCCCACAGCGATTCTCTTTAGTCAGACTGGGGTCTGTAACTTTTCATGTTCTTGTTGATGATGGATTTACCAGGAATGAGGGACACAGAGGCAGCTGCTGCTTTTCCAGAAAGCATTTTGTGCAAAAGGGTGAACTCTGAACAGCCGAGCACTCATCTGCTGGGTATTTCTCAACTTTGCTTAGAAACTTCTAATTCTTTCTGGCCTTTTTCTCTGGATGTGGACGTTTTTCAGTTTGTCTGCAAGTACCACTGTTGATACAGGAAACAGAATTTCAAATTTGCAACTGAAAGAGAATAGTAAGCATGGTAAAACTGTGTTTGCATCCTGGACACAAGAGCAGACAGCCCAGGAATGAGCGTGCTGCACTGCAGGCCCAAGCAGATAGAAAAGCTGGCTCTACACACTGGAGTTCTTCCCAAACTGTGAGCTGTGGTAGCAACCAGCTCTTCTTTGTCATTTTAAGGCACAAGTTTCCGTTTTCTCCCCTTCTTTTCCAAGTGAAATGATTCGGGGCGCAAACAAATCCAAGAGGGGCTCAGCAGGTACAGCACCTCAGCCTTAAAAGGGGTCATCTTTACGCAGCAGCTGTGCCCAACGTGATAAAAATATCGATCCAAGCTTCAGCGCGACCTCGTTCATCTCTTTGCCTTTTTTTTCCAGTTCGAGGAGTGCAGCTCAGCCCACGAGGAGCTGTCGGAGAAGGAGCGGAGGAGGATGAAGGACTGCTTTGAGCGGTACCGCAGGTCAGGCCCCATCCCACCCCATCCCACAGCTCTCCCCTCCCACGCTCGGTTCCCTCAGGGCTCAGTTTCACACAGTCCCCTTTCCAGGAAGCGTGCCCTGCGCAGGGTGCCTGGCAGCCGCCCCGAGGCCGACTGGGAGCCCAGCACAGGCAGCGACAACACGGACACTGAGGGCAGCTAGGGGCCGGCCGAGGCGCCGGTTTGCATCTGGACAGCATTTCAGATCCCTCAATAAACAGCACGGTGTTTGGTGATTAACGGTTCTATGTCCAGTTGGAGGCTGGTAACGAGCGGCGTCCCCCAGGGCTCTGTCTTGGAACTGATGCTCTTTAACATGACATCAATGACAGAATTGAGTGCACCCTCAGCGAGTTGGCTGATGACACCAAGCTGAGTGGTGCGATTCACATGGTAGAAGGAAGGGATGCCATTCACCGAGACCTCAAGAGCCCTGAAAGGTGGATGATGAGGTTCAACACAGCAAAGTGCAAAGTTTTGCACTTGGGCCGGAGGAATCCCAGGCACCCATACAGACTGGAAGGAGCGGTCCTTGAGAGCAGCCCTGTGGAGAAGGACCTGCTGGTCCTGATGGATGAAAAGCTGAACATGAGCCAGCAGTGTGCGCTTGTAGCTCAGCAGGCAAATGGTGTCCTGGGCTCCATCAGCAGAGGGGTGGCAGCAGGGGCAGGGAGGTGGTTGTCCCTCTCTGCTCTTGTGTGTACAGAGTCCAGGTCTGGAGGGCCACAAAGATGATGAGGGAGCTGCAGCACCTCCCCTACGAAGCCAGGCTGAGGAGCTGAGCTTGTTTAGCCTGGAGCAAAGAAGGCTGTGGGGTGACCTCATGGCAGCCTTCAGTAGCTAAAGGGAGCCTACAACGAGGAGGGGGATGAGCTCTTGGATAAGGTAGGTAACAGCAGGACAAGGAGAAACGGCTTTAAGTTGAGGGCGGTCAGATTGAGGTTGGACATCGGGGAAGTTCTTTGCTCTGAGAGTGCTGGAACAGCTGCCCAGAGAAGCTGTGGATGCCCCGTCCATCCCTGGAGGTGTTCAAGGCCAGGTTGGATGGGGAACTGGGCAGCCTGGTCTAATATTAAGTGTGAGGAGTGGAGATTCCTGATCCTTGAGGACCCTTCCCACCCGGGCCATTCTGTGATTCCGTGTTTAAAGCGCTGCCGTTAACGTACGGACGCTGAAGGCGGTCTCTGTAGGAGCGACCGCGCCGCCTTAGCGCCACCCCTTCTGCGCCTGCGCGGCAGCCATGTTGCGCCGCTTTTTGCGGGCGGCCGCTCGCGCCGCGCTCAGCGCCTCAGCGCCTCCACGGCACCGTCCGGCACCGCGCCATGCGTGCACCGTGCCGCCGGACAGCGTGGGGCGGCTGCAGGCATCGCACTACCGCCTAGTGTACACCTGCAAGGTGCGGGGTTGGGGCGGCGGGCGGGAGGGGGAGCGGCCCGGCGGATCGGTGCCTCGCTGCTGACGGGAGCCGCCGCTGTGCGCTTTGCAGGTTTGCCGGCGCCGCTCGGCGCAGAACATTTCCCGCCTGGCCTACAGCCGCGGCGTCGTCATCGTCACGTGTCCCGGCTGCCACAGCCATCACGTGATCGCCGACAACCTGGGCTGGTTCTCCGACCTGCAGGGCAAGAGGTGCGGGCGGGGCGGGGCGGGGCTGCGTGCCACGCGGCTCCTCGCGGCGTCGCGCCGCGGAGCAGGCTGGGATGCGGGCCTCGCGCGCGCCGCTGCCTGTGCTGCTCGGTGCTCCCTCAGGCTCCGTTCAGTCGCTGCTGGGTTCCCCCACCTGTGAGCATCTCAGAGATGCTGTCAGCTCGCTCGTGCTGTTGAACCTCGTTGGTTTCTCACTCCCTTTAAAAAACGAGGTTTGCAGTAATTGCTGAATTATTGATCCTAAGGGGTAAGAACAGCCCTAGGAGGTTTGGATAGTTCTGTCTGCTTCCCAAACGGCTTACAGAAGGATTTCTTGTCGGTACTCGTGTGTCAGCTCACTGTGTGATGTTAATGACCGAGAGCAAAGCCCCGTGCCAGGCTCTTCCCTCTGGCCTTTGCTGTAGCATCACTGTTGGCTCTCACATTGCTGTTAAGGAATATCGAGGAGATCCTGGCAGCCAAAGGGGAGAAGGTGAGACGTGTGCTTGCTGAGGAAGCCCTGGAGCTGCTTCCAGAAGACGTGGCAGATGCTGGCCCTCAGAGCCGTCCTACAGAGGGAGAAAGTGGGGACCCCCCCCCAGAGACTGACGGCAAGGAACGGACGTGACAAGTGGGATTGGTGCCATTGTGCTGATGGCAAGAGAGACTTTCGTGTTTCCTCCTTGATTTCAGTGGGCTGTGCTTAGAATAAATGTGTCTCCTCTCTCTGTTGTGTTTTTGGTTGGTGTAGTTTTGCCTTTGCCCAAGCTAATAATGACAGAGTTGGGCTCTGGATATTTTTCCTGGCACTTTTGCTGTTCTTAAAGCAGTTGTAGGTGCTTCAGAGGCATTGGGAAGCTTGCTTTGTTCTGAGGTGAGAATGGAGCAAATAATTTCTGACCGTGTGCTTTGGCTCAAGCAGGTGTAGCACTAGCTGGAGGTTCTAGAAGTGTCCTCTGGCCTTGTCCAGGTGTTGCACAGCAGCAGCTGATTGCAGTGCTCCTGGAGCTGCATCACATGGCAGCTGAGCAGAAGAGGCAATTGGGACCACCTGAGGACATGGCCCTGACCACAGGTGAGTTTGCAAAGCCCAGTGAGCCTGCAGGAGCATTGGACTGCTCATACTGCACTCACTTCAGTGCTGCCTTTTTCTTTCCTGTGGTATCTTCCAGAGTTAAGGTTCTGTGCCCCACATGTCGTGGGGTTGAAGGTCTTTATTTGGGCTTACACCACTTCTGCTTTGCCCCATGGCTGCCCCTGCTCGGAAATTCCTCGTGGGGTGGTGATGCAGTGAGCAGCCCTGTGCTTGGGGTTATGCAACTTCCTTACTGGTGAGGGGGAGGATGGGCGTGAAGGAACAATTAGTATTTGTAAAGCACGTTGGAGATAAGTGGAGCACCTAGAAATGTGTCTTATTTGACAGACATTGAGGTGCTTATTAATGCCACTGCTGCATGTTAAGATCAGCTAGAAGAGAAAATAATAACTTCATAAATGAAAAATGTAGGTGTTTACCCGAGTGCTCTGTGCTGGTAGTGATGAATAAGGCAGTAAGGTGATCATACTGCAGTTTCTTTGGGCTCCTTTTGCTTGCATAATTTTTATGGGTTTGAGGTTTGTTAACTTCTTAGTACAACAAAGTATCTGCCTTCTTGTGTTTTTAAACTCGGTATCAGAGAGTAATTGAGGTTGGAGAAGCCCTACCACCATGCTTAAAGGAGGTTCAATTTGGTAAGGACATTCAGGGTCTTGGCTTGAGTTTCTCTGAGGATGGAAGCCCCATAGCCTCTTTAGGTCTGGTATTTGACCTATCCTATGATATAAGAATAAAATAAGTCCCAGTACCTAACAGAAATTTCCCATGTTTCATCCTGTGCACATTACCTTCTTTCTAAACACTGGATTTATGAAGAGAGCCTTCTCTATTATCATTCTTCCATTAAAGAGCAATAAAAAACCCAGTTCTTTCAGTCAAGTGTGCTGCTCATGGATTCATCATTCAAGTAGTCAGTGAGTGCATTGCATGCATTAACAAGTGTAGCTCATTCATCTGAAGTGTTCTACATATGTTGCATTATTAGTATGGATCAGAGTGACAAGGAAACAATCATATTTCTCTGGTGATAGGTAAGCTCAGGGTGATGAGACAGCTTTGAAGAGCATCCATCAGCTGGGTTTTGTGTGTGTTCACATCCTCATGAAACACGGTTCTCTCTGAGCCAATTAGAGGGGGGAGCAATCCATGTATTTATGAAGAAATAGGAGTGGAATGCTGCAGTGTGCTCACCCTCTTGTGAGCTGCTGGCTCCTGTTAGCTCTGCTGGAAAAGTGGTTCTGGTGTTGTACCTGAAAACAGCACTGTGCTGCCGTTGCTCACACGGCTTTGATGGGGTGGAATGGAGCTGCTGTTAAAGGATCTGCGTTGTCTTGGAAACAGTTCATTTATAACCTAACTTTTGTAATAGTGTTTTCCTTACCTTTCTGTGCCCCTGGCTACAGACAGGCTGTTCTAGCTTCTGCTCTCACAGTATGAATTGTAGCTAAATGTCTTTGCAGTATTTCTGGTCCCTGGAGCTCGGTGCTGCTCACCCATGGGCACCTGTCTGTGAGTTCTGAGGATGGGGAGAGGCTGCTTTACTGCTGCTCCTGCTGCTGGATGCAGCTCTGAAGGCTTAGGCCAGCAGCTTGGGCAGAGCACGAAGCAGCAGGCTGCACAGAGAGGGTGATTTCTATAGGGCAGAGTCCTGGAATAGGACACAGGATGCTCAGAGTGCTGTGAAACAGCTGCAGCAGGCAGGGTGCAGCCCATGGGACTCCTCAGACCCAAATACAGACTGTGCTGTGCAACAGGGAAGGAAGCTGGTGCTTTTAAAGACATTCTGGGACCTTCAGCTGGAAGGGGAGAGGGTTGAACATCTCTGATGGGCTTTGATAAGAAAACAGGAGGGTTTGTTGCTAATGACTTACATTTAAAAGAATGTCGTGCTTTATTTTGAAGAAGTTTGGGTTTTTTTAATCTCTTTTTTTTTCTTTCTGAAAAAGGGGAGGCGTATCTTTCTGGAAGAAGGGAAAAAGCCTGCTGGAGCTGCAGTGTGATGGGGACCAGCGGTGCCCAAGCCTGGAGCAGCAGAGCAGGGTGAGTGACGGTGCACTGATGGGTGCCTGAGGCACAGAGGAGTGATTTTGAGGCAGACAGAGCAGCATTCACAGGATGCACTGCTGCCATAAACCTTTGCTGTGTTCCTTGAAGCATTTCACTGTGGCTGATGAGAGCTGCATTCTTTTCCTCTGTCCTATCCTGCAAGAGCTTTGCTGTGAAATAGGAAATACTTTGCCTCTGGCTTTCTGCCTCTCCTGCTTTATTATATTCAAATTCCAGAGTTCATCCAGCTGCTGGGGGACACTGAGGGGTTGCAGCTGTTGGCTGCAGCAGATGCTGGTGTTCTTATGGTCCACCCAGCAGTGGTGCAGGAGCATTTGGTAGAGTGCATAGAAATGGGAGCCCTATGGGGAGAGGCAGTGAGACTGTGTGCAAGGGAGCTGGGGGGCTGTGAAGTGTGCTGCTTCCACGGGGTCTCACGTAATGCAGCCCTGCTGCAGTGGGGGCAGAGAGGTGGAGCAAGGTGAGAGCCCTCTGCCCAGCCCCTGCAGGTGTGTGGCTGATACCTCTGTGCATGTCCCTGGGCTGTGATCTTCAGTGCTGCAGATACTGAGCTTGTCACTGCAAAACCATGCAGGAGTTAACCCTCACTGTGTCCTGGCCTATCAGCAGCTGGGGAGATTGCTGTGGAGGGCCTCTGGAAGCTGGCTGGCTGCAGACTGGAATTCACAGTGCTGGGCTGCTAAGAGCCAGCAGATCCCTCCCCGTGGGCTGCGTGCCCTTCCAGCCTGCTGGAGATCATGGCTGGGACAGGAGCAGCACGAGGCTCAGGAGATGGTTGAGGTAAGTGCTGAGACTCAGACCTGATGTGACTTGGCAGATGAGTTTGCAATACACAAACCCCCACCAGGCACACATTCAGCACGAGCTCTCAAGTGTCTCTCAGGACACTTAGAAAGCGAGGTAAGAAGGAGCTGTATTTTGTGTTTCTGATGTTTTTAATAGATTTCCTCCCCATTACAGCCCTGCACTGGGGCCAGCACCCTGCTCTGTATTTCACAGCTGCTGCAGCAGCTGCCCTTTGCAATCCAAGGCCAAGTTAGCCCCAGCAATCCCTCCTTTATCCGATGGGTGCCAGCAGTGAGCTGCTCCCTCCACAAAACCCTGTGACTGCTATTGGAGGATGCTGTGTTGTTCTCTTTTAGAGGAGAACACATAGTCCCTTCTGCAGCTGCTCAGGACAGTGAGACAGCAGGTGAGATAGGCTCTCATCACTTAGTTATAGGAATCATCACCTGTTCAGATTCCTGAGAATCTAAATCTCAAAATTTTGCATAGTTGGGGGCATGGTTCTGTCCTTAAGTCACACACGAAGCCTTTGGCAGTACAGAGTTTCATGTGTCTGGGTAGGGAGAAGCTTAAGAATGCCTGATGAGAGCAAGCTGGTGGCTCTTTGTTTAGCTTTGACTGGGACTGGCAGTAGCCTCCACAAGGTAACCAGGCATAGGAAGACCAACTGGGACTTGGCTTCATTCTCACAAGCCTCAGGATCCAAAATCTGCTGCTCTCTGGCTCCCCCTCTAGTAAAGTCTAATGGCCTGCTCACTCCTGCTGTGTTGGAATGAGCTTGCACTGCTGCCTGCTGCTTTTTGAGTATCTTCACTAAGGGCTTATGGCAGGGTATTGAGCAGAAATTCCTGCCCTTTTCTTCCAGCTGCCACCAGGGAAACAAGATCTGTTTTTTGAGGTACCAAAGCACCTAGCCTGAGAGGAAGGGTTCATCCCTATACCTATAGGAGGGCTTGAGCTCACTGGGAGAAGCAAACCCTTGACAGTCACAGGCTGCTTTGGATGCCCTGTTGTTCCTGTACTCTTGAGTTTTGACTGGTGTTTAGGGGTAGGGAGTGCTCAGGGCTTTGGAACTTTCTCTACAGCAGCTGAAGGGAGTTAAGGCAGACAGAGCTGTGTGCTGGTAAGGTAAAGGGATGGGTATGTGCACATGTGCACCCTTTTCTTAACACATACATGTGGCAACAGCAGCCCCAAGAACACACCCTGTACCCCCTCTCCCATCCCCAAGAGCCACCATCAGCTCTGCTGCCAGCAAAGCAGGAAAGGTGGCCAAAAAATAAGGAAAATGAGTTTTTGCCACTGAAGCTTAGACACAAATATTTATTAAGCACAATCCTCCCTTACCCATGAGCTGCATTTGTTTCTAATATATTAATTCATTTGGCAGATTTTTATTTTTTTTTTTTTAGAAAAAAGTACCTGTGGGTTGGAAATCCCCCATTAAAATGACATTAGCAAATGCACATGTAAAAAATAAATAAGCTCGTACATTCAAGTATATGGCAAATAATTAACACCTCTGAAAGCTTAATGGTCAGATTCCAGTTCACCACCTGGCTGAGAGCTGCACAGGGCCAAGCCTGGAGCTGGTCAAGTCCTCATCTCCAATGTTGTCCTCTTTACAGGTACAAGCTAGGTGGGTATACACGTGGCTGTGCACATTCTCCTGCCTGATCTCAGCTGTCTGACCTGTCCCAGGAAGGAGGCAGAGGCTCAGCCCAGCACTCTGGGCAGCAGGTGAGTGCTCCCTGGCAGCAGCTGAAATGCAGCCACCCCTCCCATGGTCAGTATAGGCAGGTTAAATGCCTGGTGAGCAGCATCACTGGTCTGAAAATCTTACTGCTGGTAGGAAATGTCTCTGTCAAATGCATTTTGTTTAGAAAGTGCTGATTTGTTCCCTATAGGAAGCATCTGCTTTGGCAGAACTCATTACTGGAGTTTCTCAAGTCCAGGATAGCCTCTCTGGTCAAGCATTCCACCTCCTGAAGTTCGATCTCTGCTGCCCTTCTTCTCTGGGCTTGCATTTCCAACTTTACCAAAAGGGATGAAAGTATATGTAGACCCTTGCATTTGCATACAGGGTGAAACTGACTTCCCAGTAACAATCCCAACCTGAAGCTGTCACCAAGGCTCCATTTCTTGCTAGTGTGAGACGAGACAGTGTGCAGAATAAGGGCTGCCTTGCTGAGAGCAGGTCTGCTGGGGCACAGCACTGGTTTCTTTCAGGAGAAACGAGGGGAGTGCTATTGTCCTCCACTGCCAGCTGCAGGGGATAGTTCTGCTTGCTCTCCTGACAAGCCACAGCCAGAAAACGTTGCTGGCTTACAAAGCAGGTGAGTGCCAGATGCAGGTTTCTGCCTCAGGCACACTGGACAGTCCCGTGTGAGGCTTGTGGCTCAGCTGCACCAGAAACAATGAGTTCAGCTAAGTTTGATTTCTGTGCTGAATAACTGGGCAGAAGACTTTCTTCCTTCTTTCCAAAGTACCAGCTCTGGTCTTGTGGCTGCAATGCAGGCTGCATGGCTGGCACTTACCTTTCAGGCTTTGTCCCATGCTTGTTTTCTGGAGGTCTCCAGATCCACTAAAGGTAAAAGTGGGAGAGCCCCAGCTCCTGCTTTGGAGCTTCTGGCACAGATCTGTACAGGAGCAGCTGAGGAAGCAGAGGGGACAGCATACAGCTCTCACTGCAGAGTTCATTGCAACCCCAGAACAAGCTTCAAAGCATGGGGGACCGTAGCTGCAGCCAGGGGTGGGGTGAGCTTTAAAAGGTCCTTTGCAGCTTCTGATTTGGGCCCGTTTTCTTCTGCAGAAAGAACAAAACTGATGAAGATATTCCAGGAAAGGATCCAGAACAACTTGTGTCGTCTCATGACGCAGATGTGACTGCAAAATGGAAAAGGTGCTCTTCCCTTCCCCTATTAAAAGTATTTTAGAAATAAAGAAGATCGAGACTGCATTTCAGTACCTGCTCCTCCTTCAGCTGCCAGTGTGAGTTCCTGGAGCTTTAGGTGACAAGCAGAGGGGCTTCCAAGGTCTTCTTCCCTTGAGCTGTGCCCATTGTTACAGAAGCCACATCTCCTAAAAAAACCCTTGTTTAAAAACAGTCCCTTCCTGTGAACAAGTGCAGTGCAGTTGAGGTGCAGATCCTGGAAGAAGTCTGGTGGTGCAGGAGCACTCTGGTTTGAAACCACCTACACTTAAGTTCTTCTTGAAAAACAAAACAAAAACAAACAAAAAAAAACCCAAACAAATGAAACTAAAACAAACCCCTCAGACTTAACCCCAGTTCTTAGCTGGAACCAGGCCTTTGCTGCTCCTCTTCTGCCTCCTCTTGTGCTGAGGCCAGATCTACCCTCTGCTCATCCATGCGTTTGGCCTGGACCCGCTGGATGAGGCTGAAGAAATCCTCATCTGGCATGGTGGGACCACGGGGGATGGAGTCTGGTGGTGCACAGCGCTGGTCGTCTATCCTGGAGGACTGCAGGGGAAGAACAGGGGTTAGGGCTGCATGCTGACAGCCTGCAGGTGGGCAGCTGCTGCCCACAGCCCCCAGCCTGGTGAGAGCAGGGGGGGCATTGCTTGTTGATGGTGAAGAAAGTAGCCCGCCCCTCCTTCCCGCTCAGCCCTGCTGTACCTGACACTTCATCAGCATGTTGAAGAACTCATCCCCTGGCTCCTGGGCGTCCCCTTCCATGCACAGGTGCCCCAGGTTGTTGTGTGTTATCCGGAGGCCTGGCAGGTTGCCCACGTTGGCACGCTGGTCATCCAGCCGTCTGCTCTGCGAGCTGGCAATGAGATCGAAGAACTCCTCTGTCTGGGGGGATGCCATCAGGGAGGAGTGTGCTGGGAAGGGGAGAGGAGCACACCAGGGTCACATCTCTGCTTACCACAGAGTCCCAGTTCTCACCAAAACGCTGTTCAACCAACAGACTTCAGCCCCTGTTTAAGAAGCCTCCCAGGGCTGAGCTGGGTAGGACACCAGCTTCTGTGACCAGCGCCATTCTCTTCCACCCCGCGTGGTAAGCAGGAACAATCCCACTGCCAACAAGGCAAGCAAGCAAAAACCTACCATCAAAGCAGGGATCAAAGCTCACGGCCCAGTCGTGCAACCACTCACACCCTTTCTGGATGCCAGTGTCGGGGCACAGCCCTACCTGCAGGTACATGGCAGCCACCTCCCAAAAACCTGCAGTCTGCATCTGCTGCATTGCCTAGCATGTAGGGTAAGGCACAGATTTTGGCAGGATGCTGCTGCCACTTTGATTTCCACCTTGGTGCAGACACCAGCAGTTGCACTGCTGTGGTTCCTTACTGGGCACTGCAGAGGTCCCAAGGGTGTAACTGCAGGCAGGTAATGTGCAGAGTCAAGGCCTGGCTAAGACACACAGCAGAGCAATGACCCCAACCAGGGCAGCACACAGTGCATGGGTCCTGCTGGCTCCTCGCAGCTGCTTGGCAGCAAAACACTCACAGAACAGGAACTGCACTTAGGATGGGGACCAGCCTGGTAGGCATCGCCTCTGGGAGCACAAAGCATTTCAGGGTGTCCCAACATCCTGACACTGCTGCTCCAACGGCCCCAGCTCTTGGAGTTGTAGAAATGCACAGTAACTGCAGCACTGACACCCTTCAGCTCACAAAGAAACTTCAAGCAACATGTCCAAAAAGCTCAGAGACCAAGTGATGGATGAACAGAAAGTATGCCTACTTGAACGCTCTTAATAAAGCATACTCATAAGGTACACAGCTGTTCCAGCCAAATGCACTTCTGCATCAGAAACACATCTTGAAAAAGTGATGTTTGCTTCCACCTTATTTTTAGCACAGAAGAAAACGCTCACCTGGGAGCGACCCGCATCCCTGTGAGCAACAGAGGGACCTGCACACCCTGTTAGCTTTAATCAAAGCACCTCACCACGCTGTCATAAAAAAAGACACAAACCCAGAGCACAAACACGGCCCTGGCCTGCCTTTCCCATCCTATTTGTCAGATGGTTTCCTCCATTTATCCGTGTTCTTCCTACGAGCAAAGCTTGCTGCCTGCGCACCCAGAGCTTCCTCTTGTTTATCCATCCTGCTGCCCTTCTCCACCCTTACGCAACACCTATCATCGCAGCATCCAACAGCTGTACAAAACCCAGAACTTTTTCCACTGTGCTCACGCTCAGAACACCCAGCAGCATCTTCCCCTCCTGCCAGAGCCCACCCGGTCCATCGCACAGCAACACCACACAGCCAGCCATGCCACGGGAGCAGCACGACCCGGAGCCACGGCGACTTATCAACACCTCCATGCTTACGTATCCGTTCTTCCAGGGCTGGGACTGGTGTGGCTGCTGCCTCCGCAGCCTCTGACGGGCATTCCTCCAGCGGGCAGCGCTGATCGTCCATCCGGTTGCTCTGGAACTTGCTCAGCAGGTCAAAGAAGCATTCCTCATCTGAAGGGGTCCGGTTGATCTTCTGCAAAGACAATAAAACAGTCAGCACTCCCCAACCGCCTCTCACCACGTGGCCTTGGCAATGCTTCCACCTTGCCCTGCCCAGAGCTGGACTCCACGCTATGCCCGTCCTTCTCCATACGCTGCACCTGCCCAGGGTCACTGCCTCTTAAACTCTGTGCTCCTAGCTCAGAAACAGCCTCTCCTTCTCCTCTTTCCTCACCACCCACTGGTCTGGACGATCCAAAGAAAACCAGCTTCTGAGAAGGGGCCATGAACAGAGTGGTGGGGAGTGGAAGGGGTGCCCCCCTGCGGTGCTGCCATGTGCCAGGCTCAGGCACACTGAGCACCCCTCTTTCCTGAGCTGCTAAATGTAACCTCTGCACATCACAGCCCCCACTTCCTTTCGACGTGCCATAGCACCCTGCTTGCTCCAGCCATCACCAGGCTGCAAATGCCACAAAATTACAGTTCAGGAAAACTGTTCTTGCATGAGAGCCCCAAATAAGAACCTTGCACCAGACAGTGATATATTTAAGTTGTGTTGTTGAAGATTTAGCACTCACAGCAGCCTCTGGTTGCTGTGCCATGCCGGAGATGGGCAGGGTGCTGCGCCAGGAGGGTGAGCCCAGGTCCTGTGCTCCCTGCTGCACAGCAGAGCTCTGCGGAGGGCCTTTGGTGAGGGTGTGCAGTGCTGATCCCAGCACAGGGCTGTTCCCTGGGCATGCAGAGTGCTACCAGGGAGCCCTGTGCTGGGGAGAGCTGTGTGTTGACAGGGTTAAAGCTGCGAGCCAGAGTCAGTAAACGAAGGAAAACAATTTTCCTGTATGCTAAGCAAAGCAGATGAGATGCACTCAGCTTCTATTTAGGGCAGCGTCAAAATTAGCAGCGGGCCAGAGAGGAACATTGGCAATGTGGGAGCAGAGAGGGGAGGGAGAATCCCCTCTTACCTCCTCCCAGGTGCTGACCCACAAATGGAGCAGCAGCACGGACGGACCCTCTGCACCATCAGCCTCTGAAACTACAACCTGAACGAGCTTCAGCCAAGGATGAACGGCTTCTACCACAGCCCTGCCGTGCTGGCTCACATGACCCAAACTTGAAGGTGGAAGAGGAAGCCTGCTCATTCACGCCACAGCTCCCTGGGGTGGCACAGAGTCAGTGGGGGCAGTGGCACAACCCAAGGAGGACTTCCACCTCCTAGGGGACGCAACACACAGAGCTCACAGGGAGACCACGTTCCCCACAGCACATCCCGCCAGGGGTCCATTTACAATATCAGGACCTTTGCTCCAAATGCACCCAAGAGAAGGAAGGATGCTCTGCCTGGCACCCCCTCAGAGCCCCACACCTCTCTAATTAAAATGCCTCAGTGTGACACTGCACAGAGCCCTGCCTGCTGCCAGCCCTGAGGAAGGAGCTGTGCAGGCAGATGGACGGGCTGTGCCCTGGGGTGCACCGTCTGCTGCCGAGCTGTGGCTTCCTGAGAGCCTGGGCATCCCTGAACGGCACCGAGCACCAGTCCTACAACAGCACAACCACCACCACAGTGTTGCCACAGGCCCCAGCCCCACGGCTCACCCCACACCCTGTACAAAGCCTCAGCTCCCTACCCACAGAAAGGCCACGTACACAGCACTGCAGCTTTGCTCCTGTTCTCTACGAGAGAGCAGAGCAGCCAGCAGCCTGGCTAACAACAGCCTGGCAGCCCCACTTGCTTACCTGAAACACACCTCCCTCCCTGGAAGGCGGCAGGGATGCTGTGTGCTGGTGCAAGCAGCAGGCTGTTCAGCCTGCCAGGTGGGATCCAGGATGTGTCAAACACAGCTGCAGTGCTGGGAACACAGGGAGCAACAGTACCAGCACTGGGCTGCCCTGAGCTCCTCAACCTGCAGGTTATTACTGCCCGGTGAAGCACAGCTGTGTGCTCACCAGTGCTAAACAGAACCTCTCACCCTCAGCCCAGCTCTGTCCCCTGGGCACAAAGCAGCCATAGGGGCCAAACCCCACTGCTCTGCCAGACTGGCTTCTCCTCTATGTCCCCATACAGCAGGGCCAAGGGATAACACAGCAGGTTTCAGTGCTGCTCCCACAGCCATTCCTTGGAGAGCGCTTCCTCAGCAACCTGTCCAGCAACAGTTCCTCCTCATCCCATTTCAGTGATTAGACAACGCAGAGATGAAGGGATTCACCAAGTGGCAGAGAAGGAACAGGACCCTGCACCCCATCCCAGCACCCCATCCCCAGAGCTGACCTTTTGACTGCAGACACTTCCCAGACAAACTGTGCTTTGGACCCAGCAGATATTCACCCCGACACATCCATGCCCGTGTGTCATCTCCTATCTGTCTCTCCCCTACCAACCAGATGCATCCCAAGCATTTACCCGCTCTCTTTTCAGGCAGCTGACCCAAAATCACCAAGCAGGAGCAGCACCAGCAGCACTTCACGCAATACACACAGCACTGCCTTCTGCTCCATCACCCCAGCGCCCCATGGAGGAGCCAACAGCAGCACC